GACGGCCGCGAAGGGAGGGAGCGGCTGCAGCGGGCTGCCGCAGTGCTCGCACCTCGGGGCCGGGTCCTCCTCTGCCTGGAGTGGAGGTGGGAGGAGAGGACGGTGTCGGCACCAAACCCTCGTTTTGTCTTGGGGAAAGAGGGCTCTGCTCGACACGCAGTTAAGAGCAGTTAAAGCAGATCTGTGTCGGTGGCGTCTTGGAACCATCTAAGCCAAAGCATTCGGGTCAGGAAACCACCCCAAAAAAGCTGCTCCGTAGTAGATAAATAAATAAAATCCCTCGGAGAAGTGGAATGAGTAGCATTTCTGAGATCTGTTCCGTCCAGGGGAAAGCCTCAGAGCTCACAGGACACTACGGCTGCGTGCTCTGATGCCTTAACCCCTTCAAATACATTGCTGGTGGCTTCGGAGAGAAAAATCTCCCAGGTTGTGCTGCTGATTATAGGAAAACCTGTGGGGAAGTTCATGAGGGACCACCAGCGGATGTGTTGACAAAAGAGCTGAGTGTATTTGACCAAATGCGAGCCAGGGCTGCTGCAGGGTATATTTGCAGGATGAGTACTAGATGTTCTGAAAGTAATATCTATTTTTGAGAGCACGTTTTGAAACTGAGTTACAGACGATGCAGCTGCCAAGAGCCAGCTGCCGAGTTCCGTGCCCAAGGCCTCTGCTCCCAAGGGCAGGGCACCTTATTTTTCCTGCATGGGCATCGTAGGGACTAAAATAGACAAAAAAAAAAAAAAAAAAGCCACACAGCAGGGGCCACCTGCCCCAACTCACCTCAATCCGTGTGTTTTCTCGTAACGACTCGGGTCTGTAGGCCAGAAGGGTGGGCAGGCCAACGGAGGGGAGCGTGAGCAGCGATTCCTTGAACAGCTTCACAAAATCCTCTTTGAACTCAAAGTGGAAAATATCAAAAGCAGCATGGAGTCATATCTTTGTTCAGGGGTAAAAACGTTAAGCATAAAATGTATCTACATGAACTGGGTGAGTTCTTACCTCCATCTCACACAGAACATCTAAACTGCCGAACTCTTCTGACAAGGCTGCAAATAGTGGCAATAATGAGAATTACTGAACAGCAGCGCTGCGTAACAGGAAAGCTTAGCTTCCAGACACGTTTGTTTTGTTCGTTTTTCAGCACGCCAGCCCTTCCTCACCAGCCACATTGGCTGCCGGAGACCTTCTTGCCAGGCTTGGTCCTACCCTCTTGGAAAGGGGGCTCGGGACCTGCGTGTAACCCTTCCGCAGCACTGAGGGACTGGGCAGCCTTCTGTTGGAACACTGACCCGGGCAGCTGCCACAGCTTCCCCTTAAACCCACTCCTAGTTCTTGTAGTCTTAAATTTCGGTTCCCCTTGTTGCCATCCAACTTGTCTTGCCCTTCTAGGAAGCCCCGGCAGAAAGCAACGCAGTGGCAGTCGCTTACACTTTTAGAGGCTGCATAATGTGGCTGTGGGTTTGTTTGACCTTTGGGGGTTTTTTAATTGCAGTTCAAAGCTGTGTAGTTATCCCCCTCTGCAATCAAGCTGTGTCACAGAGAGTAACCTATCGCCACCCTCCCGAGCAGGACTCCAGGGATGCCAGCTGCGCCAGCGGAGCTGCGTGGCTGCAGCACGGCCCTGGGGACAGCGCGGGACACAGGGAAGCTGGGTACCCGGGGTGCAGCGCTGAGAGCAGGTGGACACCCACAGTCTGACTCGGCCCTCTTTGCAGCTTCAGGATCATCTCTATCTACTGCTGCTGCATCCAAACCCAGGTAGATGATTTACTCGAGTTTGGTTATTCTGCACTTTGACCGTTGCAGCGACGGTCATCCCAGGACTTGTGAAGCTCCACCTGACGTACAAAGCCTGCAATGTTTTTCTCCTGCAAACACACTCCAAGCAAAGAGAGAGCGCTGCTTGTCTGTCGTGGGCTGTGCCCGTCCTCTGTCCCTTGGGGTGGATCAGCTTTCCCGAGTACTTCCAGCTGCTGTGCTGTGTTTTGTGCCCCAGGTCATTCCTCCTGCTCTCAGAGGCACGTGAGATGTGGGAGATGTTCCCCTGCAGAGGAGGGCTGCCTGGCACTGGGAGTGTGGCACAAAGGCTGCTCGATGTGGTGCCAAAATGGGACGGGATCAGGCAGCACCTACCACTGGCAGGCTGCGTGCTCGGGTACAGGGCTGTACCGCAGTGGGCAGGCGGAGGAGCTGGTTACTCCACCGGGGTGACTCAGCTGAGCGGGAGGAGAAGAAAGGCTGATATATTTTCAGCTCTCCCTAGAGGCTTTGCAGGTATATACAATATGCGATCCCTGCCATCTGCTGAGCGCTCCCACGCCCGCTGGCTGGCAGAGTGTCCCCGTACGCCTGACGGGGGCCCAAACGTCGGCTTGGAAGAGGCTCTGCTGAGTGGTGACCAAGGGGCCAGAGTGGAGAGCTCCTGGGGCTGCTCCCAGGGCGGCCACCACCCTGCAGAAAGGTAGAATCATAGAA